GCCAAGTCTCAGCGCACTCCTGCCACTCGTGAAACTTCATTCTTCCTTATCGTTCAAGCTCCGACTGATACACTCGGCGAAAGTATTCGCGATCGCGATGACGATCGATGGTCGACTGACTACTACCTGTCGCTGCGCTCGCAGATGACTCACGTGCGTAAAGAATCTGCGGCGTGCGTATGACGCGACGTATGTATGAATGAAAATAACGCGCGTTGCTACGGTAACGAGGTGAGAGACAGTAAGATAGAGAGGGAAAGAGAGAGGGAAGCGTAGGTGTTTGAGGAAGCACGCTTTTATGAATGAGTCGACGACAATACCGTGCAAATAACGCGTCTCAAAACGGTATCTTCAGTTTATAAACGCATCGACCGTTCTCGTAAAGGATTTAACACCTTGTTGGTCATAAAGAGTGATCAAAGCGACATCCCTCGTAATCTATATCGACCGCAACAAAGCCCATCGCCGCGAATCCGCGCCCACATTAATCGCGCGACGCAAAAATAGCCACGTTCAATGGCTCGCCTTATCCTTGAAAAGCCTAATTTTGTCGAAAGCGACAAACAGATTTGTGGTAGAATCTCCGAAAATAATTGGTCATCATCGCGCATTGAATAGATGGCGAGTGAAAAGTTGTTTAAGGATGTTTTGTATGTATAATCCCAGCAAAAAGTAACTAAAAATCAATATTGACGAATATATCCACTTTTGGTGTATTTTGAGTAAGAAATTGTGTGAAATATTACAATTTGATCTTAACTGCAGAGATGTATTTTTTAATATTTATTGCGTTTTTATTGAAATATTCCGAATTTTGTTAATCGAAATGATTAACTTTTGGCAGAGAATTTCGCCTTGTGACAGATGCATGGTTAACTTCATTAAATCATATTTAATATCTTTTTAACCAGTTAGTACTTGTATAATATTATTTGACCAAATATTTCCTCTGTATCTAAACTTTTGCAAATTTGAAACAAATTCTGAATATTATTTCCATATGTTTTTGTCATTTGAATCGACGTTGTTATACGTTTCTCATAAGAACACATGTTAATTCGATGCAAATTAAAATCCTTATAACTTGTGAACGCTTTAGTGAATCGATTTAAAAATTGTATTGAAGATTCTAAGCATATGTAAGGACATTCTGTACAATTTTCATTAAATTCTTAATATTTTAAAAATAGATACAAAACATCCTTAATTGCGAAATACACATTTTCCATGTGCTTGGCGAGAAGACGATGTCTCGTAACGATTATTATAATTATTAAATCCACGTTTCGCGTAAAGGCACTATCATTATTGTCCGACGTGCGTGCATGAATCGTTTATGTGTGTTTCTCGCGACAATACGCGAAATGTACTCCGGTATTTTTTGCGCTCGCGGAAAAAGTTGCGTAGTCGAAGGTCTCGCCTGGGAAAAAGTTGCCGCGGTGGAAAAAGCGCGAAAGTGTGACGACCTGCTGCCTACAAACCTACGTATGTAGTGTGTCGAGGGTGTCGAGTTTAAGCATGTGAGTAAACATGTTTAGCGACTGCTCGAGAGATTTGCAAAGGTTCTCAAAACGAGACAAACCGCACGAGACCACCAGAGGAGAAGTATTCTAGAGACGGTGGCTCTTGCTCCCCGCAGATCCGATATCGCTATATGATTATAAACTATTTTAGTTATACATAAATACATACGTCAATAATCGAGCATCGTGTCGATTGTCATCAACGTGTTTCAATGATTTTGTGTACGTTCACTTGAAAGTCAGTTCGAAAATCAGCGTGAAAATAAATGTTATTTAATCGCGAAAAGAAATAATTCCTTCATTTATTTATTTCAGGGATTAAGTCACAAAAGCTCCGATTGCCATCCACTATGCGTGTCGAATAGAGACGAGCGCTGTCGAAATGCACGGGCGAAATGCAGTTTAATTCGATGATACGATTGTAACCAAACGCGAGCCGCTTTTCATTTGCGAACGATTAATTTTGCATTCGCGCGCGCGCACGCCCACGCGTATATCAGACTCGCAAATCGTTGAGTTACGCCCACGTTCACCATCACCAGCGTATATATAGCGATGGGAATGCAACGAGATTCGCAGACTTCGTCCTATTATGTACGAAAGCCGTTCGTAATTCATCGTCGATGCGTTCCGACACAACGGCCTTGTTATCAACACTTTTAAGCCGTTAACCCCATGTCGAGGGTTTATCTCGTTCGTTCGCCAAGTAAATGGCCAATTCTTTTTCCTTTTGTTCTTTCCGTTTCAACAATTCGCGCAGAAAAACACGCACTACATTATGCATGTCGTAAAAATCAACGAGGCAAGAAAATGATTCGTCATCGACCTTGGATAAGTCGCGACGCGAACGCTCTCTCTTCTTTCTCTCGCGTGGAAAATAATCGCGAAACCATAAAATTGCGACAATAAACAAGCGGGCACGTGGAGTCGGTTGCGCATCGTACGTCAATCTCAGCTTGTAAATTTCATTAAGCGTCGAGGCATTCTGCATAATCTCATTGGACGCGCGTATATATATCTAATCAACGTGAATTCGCAGTTGGAGGATTTATCCGAGCGAACGGAGAGTGCACGCACAATCTGCTATTTAGTATGCGGCTTAGTTGGAAAACGTACCACGTTCTCGTTAAGTCGTTAACGAGCGTCCGCGAACGTGAGGAAAAATTGCAACGAAATCCCGGAAGAGGTAATCAAACCGGAATAAAAATCAAAATAATTTTTTTCGCGTTACGCGGATTTTAGAAATTTAGCGACAAAATCATATATTCCCGAGTTTTATTTTTATCCTTGCCCGATTGTTTGACGGAATATTAGTTTCTGGCAGTTATTCGTTTCAAACATTGACCGAAATAATTTGTATTAATAACAATCCGATATTTCGAAAATTTTCTAGCCAAGTTTTCGGAATATTTCCATTAATTCATTGTCGACTCTTGTTCGTCTCGCGATTTTTTACGAGACAAAATGATTATCCTCCCTTTCAGTTTGATCAAACTCTTCGTCCGCCCTTTGTCCGTCTAATTAATTTACAGTCGTGAGATTAACAAAATTGCGAGATTATTCTCGGCGATCTGTTTCCATAATCCAGGTGTAGAGTGTCCGGATTACAGCGCTATCAACTCTCGTTAATTAACGTCGTTAAGATAACGCGATGATAATGAGTACTGCTATTCTCGCATACTCCACTCACGTATCATTGATTACTGACTGACTCCTCTATCGAAATATTTGATAGCGCGATTAACTCGACATAGTAATATATGGGACAAAAAACAGCTCTAATGATTATGCCTTTTAAGGATAAAGCAACGTGTATTTTTCATCGCTCTTCGCTCTATCAAATCGTCTCATCTAGATCTGCGAAAGTCGTATTTAAACGAAATCAACGACCCGCGCAATCACCTGCGTAATTGAAGAAATTTCACTTGTATATTCAACAGTCGCGACAATCAGAGGTGGAGAAAGTGAGGAAGCGAGTATTGGTGAGTCATCGCCGCGGCCTCTAACAAGACACCTCTTCTCGGCAAGATGGTTTTAATGAGATTACGCCGGCTGCTATCTCGGTGTTTAAGCGCAACTGAACAAACACGGTTCCGCACCGAAGCGTATTTACGGACTTGTCGATCGTCCTTGAAAAATTTCGAGATCGCTCGCGGTCGCAAGATCACGCTTGGTCTTCCCTCGTACGGGGAAAGTCCATCTCGCGATTTAACATGTATCGTGCAGGCACGCAATTCACATTTGCATTCGCGGGAGACTTTCGCGGAAATCCTGTTGCTCTGCCGATTCTTTGCCAGAGACTCGATGAAATCGCAATTAACGTTTTATTCGTCGAAGGAATGCTAATTGCAACGGCGTTAAAAACTGTTGACGTAACTTACAATCCTTCCGACAAAATTGACTGTGAATTTTTCCGACCTATTTGCTTACATAATTGATGGAGGCGAGTCTTTAGGTAAACCAGCTCCGAACACGCCCTAAGGACACGATTTTTAGCATCTTTGGTTGGTAAATTTTAATGCACCGCGGGGATCGCGTTTCTCGGTCGAGCATTCCCTGCCCTCATTTTTAAGCTGTCGTGCACTTTATCGTGATGCAAATATTTTCGCAAATTTGTGTGTATCGTCATATTTTTCTCTACACTTTATTTAGATTTATGGTAACTTTCTTGTTGCGTCTCTATCATAATTTCTTGCTCGCTATTAAATTTCTATGCAACCTTATTTGTATTGAAAATTGAAGTTGGATTACTTTAGCGAGTTTAATTTGGTCCCCGCAGAACAAGAAGAAAAGTTTTACGATCGTTGAACATTTAGAAAAGTAATCAAAGGAATGAGCTGCGAAAGTAAAACTCGTTGATTATTTTCTCGAGAGGGGAGAGATGCTGGATAATTTCAAAAGTGCTTCTTACTTTCCGACGCAGGTGTATAATCCCATGACAGCCATCTCCAAGGGAGCCGAGGCATCGAAGGATGCTTTAAAGGATTTAATGTTAATTAATAAAAGCGTACGTGCGGACATATTTTGGGACGAGCGATTTCTCCCGGGCAATAAACCCCGATAACACAACGAGATTTACATGGTTCATCAAGTTATAACGTACGTGTACGTTGTACGTGCATCAGTATCGACAATTGGTTTCTCCTCGTGCATATTTAACGCCGCCAACAAGGCTACATTTCGCCTCGTCGGTCTCCGACCACGTCAAATTCAAATAATTGAATACGTCGCAAAAATATTCGCGTATCCGGATATTCGATACATGGCGTACGCGAGTTGTCCCGCGTTATTAAACGGCCCTTCCTGTTCGACGTAACATGGGACTCGCATGCTAATCGAACGGATCTGTTAATGTCGTTTCGATCGACTAGTTTTGCCACGTGGGTGGAACACGGCTTTGCGGCTCTCAATGCGGATTTCTCTGCGAATCCTCGGTCAACTTTACGAGATTTCTAACAGCAACGTAAATTAACTCACCCTTCCCTTCTCTTGTGTCGCGTGTTCTTTGGATCGCCTACTCACCTGCAAGTCAGAATAACGAGGATTAGAATTATGTTACGTACATTGAGAAAAAAATCTGGTTGCATTAATTAGAATGCTAATAGATTCAACCAGTATGTCTGTTGGAAAATGGACGAATCAGAATTTTTGTAGGAATTACCAGATGAATCTGATTCATTTCTTCCTGTTAAATTTACCAAATTTTCTGCTTAATAATAACTAAATAATAATAACTTCCCAGCACCAAGTCGTCTCTAAAATTTTTTCCATCTAATCTCAAAAGTCTGTTTAATATTCTGAATTCCAAGATTATTGGATAAATTCAATTCAGATTATTGAATAAATTATTTTAAATTCAGTTTGTTAGAAATTAAACTGGTAAACAGTGATGCAAGAAGAGGATGCAGCTCAAACACACGCAATCAGAGAGCTAGAGCGTCCTCTTTCCGGCACTGTTCGTAAGAGAAAAAAAATATACTTTGGATTTAATGTTAATACTAATTCTTTATATACATTTTATGGCAAATGTTGAATACGAGTTAAATTAAGAGTAGCAAGCAAAAAAATTAATCGAACAAGAAATTTTATAGATTCAACCAGAAAATATTAACCAAATTCTTATAGAAAAATTTATTAAACGTTCTAGTTATAAAAAATCGAGTCTTATCATGATAACTAGAAATTCTTATTTAACCACACGATAAAAAACATTTTGTATTTCAACATTTTGTTAAAATTTTCTCGTGTAACAATTTTTGTGTTAAATTTTTAACATACTCTTATGTTAATGTAACATATTATCATTGCGTTATTTTGACATTTCTGCGTTGAGTTAATATTCACTATTTCTAAGAGTTACAACAACACAATTAATATGTAAATGCACGAATTTTTGATGAAATATGTTAAAATGAACAGATAAGTTGTGTTATTTTTCTCTCTATAATAGTTTCCATATGTTAAATCGACATATCTTTTCTGTTATTTATCATAAAAATGTAAGAATAACATTTTCTTTTAATTAAATTTAACATTATAAATATGTTAATTTAACATAAACTTTATTTCCAGATAAAGTTTAAGTGTTACACTTTTGTGTTAATTTTTAAACATATTACTTGTGTTATTTATTTACATACTTGCCTTCTGTTAAATTAACATTAAAATTAGAATGGATAAATTGAGACATGTGAAATATGTTAAATTTAACACAAAATTTTTTACTGGGCAAAATGCCTTCAATCATATACGTCTTGTTGATACAATCAAACGATTTTTCTCAGTGTAGTCTTAATATACGCATGCGTTACTCTAAAAAATATCTTTCTTTCAAATTGCGATTAAAGCAGATTAAACGGTAAGATTGGATCGAACAGAATTTCTCATTACATCTTGACCTAGATTGGCATGTGTGAGCTTTGTATCAAACAGGTGTGCGCACGTTTTTAAGATCGCTTTCGCGTCGGACGAGCGATTCTAACGAAGGATCGCGCCAATAAAGGCGCCAATAAAGTGCAATGACTGACTTGAATTGCATCAACGTGTCGATGCACTCTGCGGCGCGCTGATAAAGTCTATTAGGCTTTTGTGATGTTCCGTCGTTTCTTATCGCCCTGTTACGGAGAATTATCCATCTCACCTCGCTAATTTCGCGGTACGAATGCAATACCGGGTGAAACCAAAAGAATTTCAGCGATTGATATTTATCTCCCCCTCGAGGGAGGAAGAGTTCTCTTCGATTGCGAATATAATGCATTCACGAGCGATACTTTTTTTCGCTTTCTCTCTTTCTCCGTATTCCTTTTTAAACTATAATTTTTTTAAGCAATTAGCCAGGTAATTTCGAAACGAGGTGCTAATGATAAACGTATCTTTAATGCGCTTTAAACACACGTACTTTCACCAAATATCCCGCTGTGCGAAGACATTAAAATCCAGATAATTATCAAATTTTGTTATTATTTTTAACACACGTGTTACTTTTTATCTCTAAAATGAATTATGTAAAGAAGGTACATTATAGAGCGTATTAATTAAATATATGCGAGTCATTTCCATTTTTAATTGGTGATAAAACTCAACGTCCAGTAAAAATGTTTATGTTGATAAAAATACCGGGTCAAACCGGAACGATGTCATGTGAAACTTTCAAGAACTTTCTTCTGTGTGTCAGAGGTGCCTGCGAAATTCGTCGAAAAATTTGCATCGTCTCGACTTGCGAAATCGATAGGGAAACTTCGATCCACTAATCACTCGATGAATCGTCTTGTTGCGTTGCGTTATTAGCGATTCGCGAATGTGACAACAGTGTCGCATGACGCAACCGTATTATACGCGGAAACGTCAGCAGACAACGTCAACAGACATTAAATCGCATCACTGACACCGATAATATCGCCGACTAATAAACTTCCCGAATGCATTTTTTGCTCAATAGAAAAGCATCATCAGCGGACAATTTTGATGTCTTATATTTAAAAGTAGTTTGCACTTTGTCATATGAGTCATCAAGATGATTAGCAAATTCGATAATATGTGTATAAATAGAATTATCTGTATGTATATCATGTCTACGGAACGACACAAACAATAACATTCAAAGTTTCAGATAGAGATGGAAATGTCATATATATTTGACATTTAATATAACATAAAAATGAATAAAATTTCGAGATTCATTATTTTCTCATTTATATTCATTCGTTCAGACACGCGCGATTCTTTACCTCGGGAGCATCCTTGAAGAGTTGACAGATTACAAATGTTTCTTCTCGAAGGAGAAACATCGGCATGTATCACGAGGGGTTCCCGACATCCCGATAACGTTGGGGAAAATATTAATGAATTTTTTTAGCGATACCGCGCGTGACTAAATATTTCAGAAAAATCCCATTATGGCGATTGCGGCGAAAATAAAAAGAGAGAAGATGAGGCGAGTGATAAATGACGTGATAACGAGCGACCGTCACGGCAGATGTATCTTGCGGCTGCTGCGACGAACCGGAATCCACATAATGCCATTCTTTCATGCGTGATATCTAAGAGGTCGTCGGATTTCGCAATCCATTATCGGGCGCGCGATAAAGATACGTTCACTCGCGTGCAATTATCGATAAACGCCGAGGCTGTCAATTCTTCAAACTTAGATCCGAGGCGAAGCATTATACCATTCTGGAATATTCAAGCGACGCGCGAAATATGTTTCATGAAAAAAATCATGCATAGTTATTTATCTGATACAATCTTCGCTTAACGATAAAACTTATTCCTATTCGTCGCAATAATAAAATATCGTGCTTAAAGATCTCACCGTGGAGAACTTGATGTTCAGGAAGTTGTAGTACTTGACCAGGAACTTCATTATACTTGAAGAATCAAGCGGAAGAGAATCCGTCCTCTCTTAACAAATACAACAATATCATAGCAATGGTCGTCTTTCAAGTGTGAATGTATCGAGGATCGATAATACAAGTTGTTAAACGTGCGAACGACCGGCGCGTGCGAGAAAATGTATTGCACTAAAGCGCCGAGAGACGTAAAAGTGTCGGAAGGCCTCACGATAAACTCACTATCGAGCTGTCTATTATCAATGTAATGACTCGTCGATTATTCTCGTTCTCGGCAAATCGCTCGCGACAAAAGCCATAAATTACAACGATCAAATTTATCCGCCACGATTCTAAAAAGAGATGCACATTCGATCTTTCGTTCCTTTATCTAGCTCGAGGAGAGAGGCGCGGACGCTGATTGCACCGGTGATCCAAGATTAATTAAGCGTTCCAAAGTAGATCTTGATTACATCGTTGATTAATCGTTGTCTATTTTTAAAAACGAGATATATCGACATACGACCCAGACTCAATCGAGGGATTTTGCCCGCGGTTCACCGAGAAGAAACATTTAGTATAACTCTCGCGGACGAAAAAAGGCGTAAAAAAAACGTTACGTAATCGCGTCAACCATAATTGGGTCGACGTGCGTTTACGCATCTCGACTAACGAGAGGAACTGACAACGCGCCGCATACACGCGTCGGAAACGAACGTACACGTGTCACTGCCGTGTTTCAAACCGCCACTTTCTAATGCACCGTGAAATGCAGTGCGCGGACTGCATTGTAGGAATGCGCGGCACGTTATTAATATGTTCTGTAGCACGCGAGATATCGCGTGAGATTCTTTTATCATCGCGCGAATTATCAACATTTTTTTAGCGAAAAAATTTCGCGAAGCTTATTTAACTCGCTTCGAGGTTAATCCAATTACTATTTTTAACTCGCAATTTAATCTCATATTTTATCACCGTGAATTACTTTACACGGTACACAATGTTTTATATGTTTATCTCCATCGCTAACGATATCGAATCAAAATTGCAATCTCGAATGCTTTATCGAATAAAAAGAAACTAGAACGACAATGCATCGATTGTTGCACGCGCGTATCCAAAGATCGACCCACTTTTTTGCCTGAGGTTGCAGTACGATCGATCGAGCCCTCGAGAATGCGTATTTATTCACGCAATGTCAATTAATACGCTAATCGTCGCGCCAGCGTGGATTACCATAACGGTGACCCGCTTTATCAAGGGCCGAATCGATCCACCGATTAATTACGCGACACTGCACAAATTGGCGTCTCGCGGAACAACTCTCTCCCTCTCGCTGCTCGATCAGCTGATCGATCCCGGTACAGCTAGTGCCGCGCTCCGCGTTACGCAATCCAGTCTTCGTCGTCGTTCCAAGCTCGCGTAAAACGGGGAATTATGCACGCGGAAATATGCACACGCACGCACGCATTCTGGTGCGTGCTTACCACGCGTTTGCGCAATCGCAGCGGTCTTCTCTCCGTCGATGCAGGCCACGTTTATTTGCGATAAGTCGCGAGATTATGAGCATTTTTTTCCTTTCATTAATCGGTAAAAACGAGTTTCCCTCTCTTGCCCTAAATTAAACTAGAAACACTCGGCAAAGTATAGAATTTTCCAGCAATTGTCTGGTCTCGACCGCAATGATATTCATCT